CCCCTGTTTAACCACGAGGGCTGGCCCCGACCCGCCGAAGCGTCGACCATTTCTGGCCGGCAACTTTCAGCGTCATTAAGCCGCTGCGCCACCGCGTCCCCCTAAGTGTAGAATACTTGGTAATATAAGTTTGATACAGACTTCTGCATGTTTTCCTTTCTGTTCTCAGCTGTACTTTTAACTGATCATAATATAGAATTACTTTCCCTGGCATCTGCTGTTTTTTATTCAGAAATCCCATGTAAGAGAGCAGTGTATGCTGTTTTATAAAGATGAGGCAATATTACCCTCATGGGAGATTCTAAAGGAAGATCTCTGGCTTCTCACATGGAGCTAAAGTTTACTGGTGTATTTGTTTCTAGGAGATTTCTAGTAGTGCTAAAAACTTACATTCCTTTTACTTCTGTGTCTTTATAGGCGTTCTACAAGGCGAGTGCGAGAATTGTGGTGGCAAGGATTACCTCCAAGCGTTCGTGGGAGGGTTTGGAGTCTTGCTGTAGGAAATGAATTGAATATCACTCCTGGTATGTTTTGAAGCATAGAGTGATATTCTGCAACATAAATGCTTCCATTGAGTATAACGATGGTGTCCATTTTGCTGAGGAATAATTGCATTGTTAGCTGTAACGCTTCAGTAACCTAGTGCTTCCCTTGTAAATGATGAAAATGTGCAGCACTCAAATCCCTGACTTAAACTGAAGCCATTTCTTTAAAAGAAAATCAGTAGTGCTGAATGAGTAGAATAAGTTAAATTGACATGTTGCTGACTAAGACCTAGTTCAGAAACTCTAAGATGTCACTTTTTATGATATGCCGCTTAGCTAGTAATAATCTATAATATTTTAAATCTCAGCTCTTTCAATAAATATAATGTGGTTAGTTTAAGAATAGGATTATCATAACTGATATGTTCAAAATGAAAAATGCTCTCTGAAAAGCTATCAGGAAAAGTAGAATTACACTGTTAGTGTATTAGACTCAGTCTTTTCTAAGAAGAGTGTATATGTTCCTCCAGTCATTTATGAAGAGCAGGTTTAAAGAAAGAGCAGGATTCCCATCTTGAGCTTAATAAGTTCAGGAATCCTGGCTGATCTTGGATGAATTCAAATCTTGGTAGCCAAATGGATTTTGCTGAAGGAATTTGCTAATAGTCTGGCCTGACTTCTATTCATTATCTTTAAGAAATCCTTAAGAATGAGGAAACATTTCTCTCTTCACAAAAAGGGGTAAAGGACAATCCAAGAAACTACAGATCAAAGTGCCTGACATCGATAACTGGAAAAATCCTGGAGCAGATCATAAAGTGACCAACTTTAAAGACCTTGGAAATAGTGCAATGTTTACTATAAGTCTGAATGCATTTGTGAAGCCTTAACAAACTAATCTTCTTTCATTTTTTGAATGGTTAATTTCCTTAACAGATTATCAAAGGCTTTGCTAAAATCAATATATTAGTACTCTCTCTGCCCACTTCTGGTATGTTTAAGATGATGCTGACTCTAATCATATCATTGCAATTAGGTAAATGCAGACATATTTTCCCCAGAATGAGGAAAGGATTAAATGGGCACAAAATGGGGTCTGTGTGTGTGTGTTAGAGAGAGGCTTCTTTTTAGTAGTTGCAGTTGTGACTCAGTGACTAGGGAGGTGGTGGCCAGGTTGTTTGAGCCAGACAGTGATAATCAACAGGTTCTCATCAATCTTTAATTGGGTGTCAAATGGAGTACCATTGAATTAGGTCCTGGGTTTTCTATTCTTCAACATTTTTATTGATGACTTAGATATATCCCATCTGCAATTAATACAAAACTGGATGGTACAGTTAATACTGTAGATCACAAGAGCAAAATTCAAAATGATCTTGACTAGTTAGAGAGATGGACTAGAAGCAACAGAATAATATTTAATAGAGATAGATACAAAGTTTTTCAGTTAGGAAAAAGAATCAAATATACAAGTAAAGGAATGGGGATTATCTGGCATGATAAATGTGAATAGGATATTTGAATTGTAGTTGATTGTAAGATGAATATGAATCAGCAATGTAACACGGCTTCTAAGAAGGCAAATTCAATTTTAGGTTGTATTACTACAAGTCTACTTTCCAAATCGTGGGAAGCAATCATTCAATGCTGTTTTGGATTGTTCAGAACCCAGCTTGGGTAGTAAATCCACTTCTAGGCATCACAGTACGAAAGATTCTGGTGCAAGGAAGGGTAATCAGGGCTGGATACTATGTCCTGTGAGGAGAGAGTGGGAATACAGGAAACGTTTACCTGAGAAAAGGTGTTTGGAGAAGGATATGACAACCCTTCCAAAGAAAATAAAGCAGAAAATAAAAGAAGGCCATCACAAATTCTTTATTTTTCCATAACATGGAATAATGGTCTTAGTTACAGGAAGGTAGATTCCTGACTGAATGTTAGAAAAACAAATGCTAAAACTAAGAACAGTTTGACAGTGGACAAACTTGTCAGTGAACGAATTTCCAAAGGAGGTAGTATGCTCTCTTCCTTGGATGTATTCAGACTGAGTTTGAACAGCCATCTGTTGGGAATGTTTAATTTGGATTCCTGCACTAAGCCAATTGCTTAGACTTCATGGTCTGAATGGTTGCCTCCAACACTATGATTTTCATAATTCTGGGTATACTTAATATACATTATATGAAATATATGTGAAGCATACTTAGAATTGTGTATAGGTAGTCCTTGCTTAACAACCATTTGTTCAGCGACCATTCAAAGTTACGACAGCACTGAACAAATGGTAGTTATGATTGGCCCCTCGAAGTTACAGCAGTTACAGCATCCCCACAGCCATGTGATCAAAGGGCTAGCAGCTGCCTCGGCCAGTAGGAGAAAGAGGAGGAAGATTGTGAAGGTCAGCTGGAGGCAGCAGGGGTAGGCAGTGGAGTGAAGGGCAACCAAAAGGGCAGAGATGGGTGGGGGAGTTGAAGTGGAGGTGAATGTGGCAAGGCAGGAGAAGTGTGAGGTCCTCGCCTAACGACCGCAACCGGGACTACCAGAACTGCTGTTGCTGGGCAGTGCAGTTATGTGATGTTTTGCCTAATGACCACTTCGCTTAGCAACAACTTCACTTAGCAACAGAAATTCCAGTCCCAATTAGGGCTGTTAAGCAAGGACTACCTGTATGTATATGCATATTCATAGTAACAAAAGCATGTATTTGTCTGTCACTTTGTATTCTTTTATTACCTTTGGGGATAGAGCTTATTGAATCTAACTATTGAAGTTATATTGTTCCTAAATCACTAAACTGAGACTTCCACCAGTCAACTTATAAATGTTCTGATTTTAAAAATCTGTAAATTAGTAGTAGAATGGAAATTATATAGTTCAACTTGCAAATCATAAATTTGAGCTTTGGCTACATTTTGTGTGTTTTGCAGAACTCTATGAAATCTTCTTATCTAGAGCCAAGGAACGATGGAAGATTTTTGGAGAGACAGGCACTGAAAATGATACAGAAGGTATTTTGAAATGGTACCCATAGCTGCTCATAGCATTTCACAGCATATAGTATACTGTTCATAGTGTTTATTATACCGCAAAGAGACTTTCGGGGATTTTAACAGTATGGCCTCCCAACACAGAACATTTAGCAGACAATTGTGTGTTTCATGCTTATTTATAGGGAAAGTAGCACGTCAGAGAGAAAGATTCTAGAAATGTTATGTGGGATCATATTTGGGACTCTATTCTCTATAGCAGTACAATTCTAAATAATCAGTGTCATGTGAAACTTCTGGATGTGCTCACCCCTGTATTAAGACAACTTTGTTTTATATTAGAAGTTCATAGCTGCTGTTGTTATAAACTAAATAATGCCCTTTTCTTCTGAAATAATAGCCTGACTTTGTAACTTAGTGAGTAAGATGCTGGTTTCATAAGTTATACTAACCTTTTCTGCCTAAGTTCGCTTTTTATGTCTGGTTGGTTTTTATCCTTTCTTCTGAGCACTATAAAATTGAGGAAAAAGACTATTCTTTTTAAATATAAGCTCCTAATCCTAGCATTTGTTAAACTGCTGTTTGGTATAAATATATCTAACACACTTATGAATCCTATTTACAGGTAGTTCTTGTTCAGCGACCATTCAAAGTTGTGATGGTGCTGAACATGGAGACTTACAACCAGTCCTTGTAGTTGCAGCCATCACACTGTTCCCGCGATCACATGATTGCAATTTGGGTGCTTGGCAACTGGCTTGAAGTTACAACATTGCAATGTCCTACAATCACATAATCACCATTTGTGACCTTCACTGCCAGCTTTCAACAAGCAAAGTTAATGGGGAAGCCATCAGGAGGTCACAAATGGCGATCACCTGATATCACACCTAATGACCATGCAGGATTTGCCTAACGATGGCAAATGGAACTGCTGTTATAAGTTGGTGCGGTCATGTGATGTCATGCTTTATGATCACATTGCTTAGTAATGAAGTTCCCGGTCCCAATTACCATCATTAACCAAGGACTACCTGTACATGTCTTTCAAAACCAGTGCCTGGCTAGGAAAATTGAGTTTGATGTTAGGAAAACCTCATCCCTCTGTGATTCCTTGCCCTGTTGGAAGACAAATTGCTTCCTGGCTGATAGAGATGACTCCAGATCAAACTTACAGGAGTACATTATGAATAGCATGAGTGTTTGGTGTAGGGAGAGGAGTCCATGTAAAGAAGCAACAGAGCTGAGACATAGCTTTTTATGCAGAAAAAAGGCTTAATTAAAATAAATACATTCTAAGTCTCATGCTAAAGTCTAGCCTGGAGAAGGAAGGAGTGGGGAACAGTTAGGAAGGATAAGAAATTAGCAAGAAGATGACAGAAGAAGGATGAGAGATGGAGAGGGAGAAAACTGAGCCAAAAGGTCAGATAGAGGAAAGCTAGTGAAAGTGACAAATGTGTACAATGCAGCATTTAATGAATGCAAGAATGTGGATTCATAAGAACATGAATTGAAGCTAGGAGCAGTTCGGGTCTCCTCTTGGAAAATATACCTAGTGCAGAGTTCCAAAATGGATTACTGTTGTAAAATGTTTTAAAAGCATCAGTTAAAAATACATCCACAGGAAGAAAAGAAGTAAAAATGCTAAGGCTACCTTTAGGTGGAAAACAAAAATGGCTGAGATATGAGTATTTATTTGGTTGTAGATAAGACACAAAAGGGTTCGGGGTCTTTGGTTTTGTCAGCTGATGAGTGGCAAGCTGTTGTCCTAACTAAATTATGTTGTGGAGAAGTTTGAATAAGTCCATGATTTACAGTGGGGCAAAAAAGTATTTAGTCAGCCACCAATTGTGCAAGTTCTCCCACTTAAAAAGATGAGAGAGGCCTGTAAAGATGTGTCCCCCTGCTTAAGCATGTCCGGGCCCGTCTGAAGTTTGCTAGAGAGCATTTGGATGATCCAGAAGAGGATTGGGAGAATGTCATATGGTCAGATGAAACCAAAGTAAAATGTTTTGGTCTAAACTCAACTTGTTGTGTTTGGAGGAGACATGCTTAAGCAGGGGGACACATCTTTACAGGCCTCTCTCATCTTTTTAAGTGGGAGAACTTGCACAATTGGTGGCTGACTAAATACTTTTTTGCCCCCCTGTATGGAGCTTCTTGGACTTCAGGTTTAGGACAGTGTTCTCCATGTTAGTAGAGGATGATGATGTCCTGGATTGCTGCTGATTGCTAGCATGGGAAAAATAGAGTCAAGTATTGAGATGAACTTTTGATATTGACCAAATACTTATTTTCCACCATGATTTGCAAATAAATTCTTTAAAAATCAGACAATGTGATTTTCTGGATTTTTTTCCCCATTTTGTCTCTCATAGTTGAGGTATACCTATGATGAAAATTACAGGCCTCTCTCATCTTTTTAAGTGGGAGAACCTGCACAATTGGTGGCTGACTAAATACTTTTTTGCCCCACTGTATGGAGCTTCTTGAAATTCAGGTTTAGGACAGTGTTCTCCATGTTAGTAGAGGATGATGATGTCCTGGATTGCTGCTGATTGCTAGCATGGGAAAAATAGAGTCACACAAAATGGAGGTTGAGAGGAGGGGACAAAATGGGAAAACTCTGATAATACCATTCCTGTCTTAGCAAAATTGTTTTTTGCTGTTGAGATCATTTTATTTTGTACAATGGTATGTCAGGCATTAGTGAAGTTTAAAGTAGATGTAACATTTGTAACAGAAATGCTGAAATACTGTGAATGCTTTTAATTGAATGTTGAAGTAGCTCGAGATGAAATTGCTGCCCAATTCCTTGTTTTGTTTTTTTAATTAATATTCCCTTTGGAATATATCTGTGATTGACTGAAGGAAACATTCAGACTGTGTATCAGATCAACATAATCTTACATTATTGGGAATCAGTCTATAGATATATTTATGAATCTGCATGGTTTACTCTCTAGATGCTGGAGCATCACTTGCTGACCGAGAAGCTAGCTTGGAGTTAATAAAATTGGATATATCCCGCACGTTTCCATCCCTCTATATTTTTCAGAAGGTAAAATTTGTTGATTTTGTTTTTTAAAGTAATAGTCTAAAAGCAAGAATTCCGTCCACAGAAGATTGTTCTGTTACGGTTTAATACCGTTGACAAGTTCCATCTCCATTAAGAGGGACGTAACTTAAAATAATTCTAAAAGATAGTTATAAAATCTGTACAGCTTGTATATATTATAAACTCTCTAGCAAGCAGAAATGTAGCAGAAAGGTTGGTGTTTGGATTTATATAGAACTGGAGCTGTTAAGTGTTGAGCTTTTTAAAAGCCTAAATAAAAGCAAGATTAACACAAGCAAATTACACATTGTTTTGGAGTACAATATCTGTCAAAACACCTTTATAGGGGGAAATTTTACATTTTCATTTTCAAAGATGTATGAGGGAAAAAATTCAGCCACAGTGTGCATATATTGTAAAACCATTTTTTTAAAGCACATGTTTCTCTTTTGTTTGTAACTTAGTATTCTGGTACCGGTATTATGGCCCTCAAAAATGTTGGTACTACAGTACCATCTGTTTATTACAGAGTAATAATTAAAGTAGTAGGTTACTCTGATTAGCGTCTCATTGTGAAATTGAAACTGCTCAATGTTTTACAGCAGTATTTCCAAACTTCAGCAACCTTAAGATGTGCGTGGACTTCAGCTCAACGGAACTCTTAGCAATGGCCAAGGTGGCTGGGGAATTTTGGTAGCTGAAGTCCACACACACCTTAAAGTTGCTGAGGTTGATAAACCCTGTTTTGCTGTGAAGTCCTACAGCTGGTCTGGGAACCAGGCTGGCATATCTTGCTTAAGCAGAAGGCAGTCTTGAGCCTGAGTACTTCCCTTCATGTTTAGCCAACCTGCACTGCGAAACGAACATTTATCAATATGGAAGCTCACTTCCACTTCCTGTTTGGATCACAAAAGACTAAAACATAACCTTTGGATTTGAAAGGTTCCTTATTTTATCACCACTAAACATATACCATATGACTGCATCATTATTATTAAATTGCAAACTATTTTGATCATGTTTATTGCTTGTAATCATCATTGCCCTGTCCCTAAATTAGGTATTTCAAAAAATGATGGACATATCAGATTTCCTCTTTTTAATAAAGCTTTTTAAATGCACTAGCCTTCCAATGAAAATCGTGATGGTGAGCGGAGAACAGGTTATTGAATGTATCATTAGTTTTAATGACCTAATGTAATTCATAGTATTGATCACAATTATTTTATATATTAATATTTGTAAACTACATGGAGTCCACTAGGATTGAGATGGTGGACAAATTGCCCAAATTAATGGATAAAATACCTCCATAGGGGGTACATTCTGTTATCACGCAAGAGAAGCCTTCCTCACATAGACACTAGATAGCCACGCTTCTGGCTGTGAGTAGCTTTTTCAGATACATCTCACCTATGATCTACCTTGCGCTGGTTAGCATCCTGGCTGCCACATTTTATATTCTTTGCAATATTTGGACACGTTTCTATGGTAGCCCCACATAGAATACACTGTATTCGTAGAGCTGTCTAGGCAGGAATACAAGGTTTAGAAAATTGAGTCTCCTGTCACAAGACTAGCTGGAATATAAGGCTTGCCTGTCTTTGTTCAGATTGAACCTAGTGTGTATTTTTCTTGAAAAAAAATGACAGCAATTGACATTCATGGTCATTAATTCATACAAGTAAGGGTCTTATAAAGGGGAGATTTTAGAAGTAATTTTGATGGCAAAATGTTGGTATTATAGTACCATAATATGTAAAAAGTTCAGTTTTATTATATATCTCCATTTTTAAACTTCAGTTTTAACCTTTACTTTCTTCATCTATTGTTTCCATTTTAGGGTGGCCCTTACCACGATCTTTTGCACAGTGTCCTGGGAGCATATACATGTTACAGACCTGATGTAGGATATGTAAGTATCTGCACAGTGTTGTCAATGTTTCCACAGCAGCAACAGCAACAACAACAACAATTCATGTATTAAACTTGTATGCCACCCAACTCTCAACAACTCTGGGCAGCTCACAACAATGAAACAGAAATTACAATAAAATCAAATCTTCTATAACTTACTATATTGATACAGTATTTGCAAGGATATAAGCATATGCTTCATCAGCTGAGTCAATTACCACAATATAGCTTAGCCTTTCGACCCCAAAAGGGGAAATATGTTCTGCTACACTTAGTTTCCATAGCTTATCTCAATTCCCTTGCTGGCTGTTCTGCTCAGGATATTTCATATCAAAGGGTGAACTTCCTAATGCTGTAACTCCTTGTACATTTGCTAGGGATATAGAAATCCTATATCCCACTAGTACTTCTCAGTAAATGTGCACAGGATTGCATTATTTTACAGTGACACTTTGTCTAGAGTAGTGTTTCTCAGCCTTAGCAACTTTTAAAATGAGTGGACTTCAATTCCCAGAATTCCCCAGCCAGCATGGCTGGCTGGGGAATTCTGGGAGTTGAAGCCCACTCATCTTAAAGTTGCTAAGATTGCGATACACTGCTCTAGACAAATGAAAAGTAGGAAGAAATTGCTGAGAAAAATTGTATATATAGAATATATCCATTCATTTATTCATATGTATTTTTCTTTCCTCCTCCTGTACTTGCTTAGAAACGAATTGCCAATTTTAGCTTTCTAAAGTGAAATATGAGCAGCTTTAAGTCATGATGGCGTATATCCAAACACCATTATCATCTTTAGACTTATGTATAATTCAGCACGTGAATGAATGAAAAAAGGTAGCGAGCCCGGTTCAGAATATGTTCCTAAAGTGCCCTGCTTGTTGTTATAATTTGGTAATATACTAGTTTTCAAAAATACTATAAATAGTTTCCTTAGCATAAAAATGAGTCTTTTATTTGGCACATTCAGCCCCTGTTTTTTTGTTTGTTTGTGTGTTAAAGGTCCAGGGAATGTCTTTCATTGCTGCAGTTCTCATACTTAATCTGGAGGAGGCAGATGCTTTTATTGCCTTTGCAAACCTTCTGAACAAGCCATGCCAGCTAGCCTTTTTTCGTGTGGATCATAGCATGGTATGTGCACGTATTATCATTTACTATTATTACTGGACTTAAATTTTTCTTACCGCAAAATGTTCATGGACAGTAAGTAGATGTCCCTATTGAAGTTAGCGGTATTCCTAGTTTTCTAAAGATCAGAGCGTTGCATACATCCTTATAACTAACGGGGGTACTTGTGCCTAAGGAACTGTATCAGCAGCAAATATATTAGTAGAAATTGCAGAACTGTTGTATTTTACAGAATTTGCAGATTTTATTCTCAGTTCCTCTAGTTTTCTGTGACATAATGGTAATCCCTGCAGTCTTTTGCCTTTCCGACAGAGAGACAGCAAGAAGAAAGTCTGGTTACCTATACCTAGTAACATGTCTTAGATACATCAGGGTTGGATCACTGTAACAAACTCTACATAGGGTTACCTTTCAAAAAGTCTTCAGAAGCTGCAGTTCTTTGAGAACATAGCTGCCAGGAAGCTATCGGGCACATTCTTGCATCGCTGCACTAGCTGCCAATATACTTGGTCCAGAATATCTAGTATTTCCTCCTATTGCAGTGGTGGGGAACTTGTGCCATGGCCAGCTGTTACTGAATTACATGCTGGCTGGGGAATTCTGGAAGTTGGTCCACACATCTTAAAGTTGCCAAGGTTGAGAAACACTGTCCTAGAACCTTCTCTGTCTACCATGTAGGGTGGAGGTGGTAATTAAATTAGAGCATTTTTGGTGTTTGCACCAGTATTGTGGGACGTTGCACCTGGAGAAACACTGGTGGCCTGGTCTCTGGATGTGTTTTGCACTTAGCATAGATAGTGTTGTTCTGGTAGGCTTCGTTTGATCTGTTGTGTTAAAAGTTGTTTGTGTGTCATCTTTGTGTGTCTTTATCATTTTACTGTATTTTTAATTTAATGCATATTTTATATTATACTGAGTTTAAATTAGTGTAGGCTGTCCTGAGCAATGAACAAGCGTGTGTGTGTGTGTTTATGACTATCACCAATGTTTACTACTGTCTACATTGCAAGGGTAGTTGGAAGCTGGAATCACTGATCCTGGGTGTTTGAACGTCAGCTAAATTATTTCTCAACTGCAGATACCAGCATCTGGTAACAGCAATCTCACTTTCAGTTTTACTATTTAAATAAGGCACGCTCTGCTCTGTAAACTAGCATATAGTTCTGCAGAAGCTTCAATATTTGTGGCATTTGTATGTTTTCCTGAGCCAATTGTATGTTTTTTCTCCCTTTTCTTTACAGATGCTGAAGTACTTTGCAGCATTTGAAGTATTTTTTGAGGAAAACCTCCCTAAACTGTTTCATCATTTTAAATCCTATAATCTTACCCCTGACATATACTTGATAGATTGGTACGTTGAAAACGTAATTGTCATATCAAGCTTCCAGGTGAAGTTAAATGCAAGCCAGATTTTAATGGGCATTCTAGGGTTCCTTGGGATTGGGTATTTGGTTAGGAGAACAGAAGTGGCTATGACATGCATGCCTGAGGCACAGAGGAGCACACAAGAGAATGGGATTTAACTGGTAGATGATTGGGTGGTTTATAGAAGGTTATCACATGAGTTTAACCTTCAGTTGCTTAATAGCACAAAAACAGTTTTCTCCTTGGCCAAATTAGGTTGATAAATGGGTGGGAGAAGGAGAATAAACAGTGGCATTTTGCCTAACTAGCTTCTGAGCTCAATTCTGCCACTAAAAACAAATTCCTGGACTGAACCTGCACTCCAGAGAAAGATTTGCTTATTAAGTGTTCACATTCTGCCAGCCCCATGAGCCACTACTATGACACCAATCACAACAGGCAGATTTTTAAAAAAGGTTATGCAAAGCTAAAATCTGGTCAATGGACACAATGGGTTTATATCCAAAATATAGCTACATATCAGCTTATTAAGTTTTTTCTTTTTTTCTTTTTCTTTTTCTTTTCTTTTTTTTGTGTGCCTTCAAGTCAGTGTTGACTCCTGGCAACTGCCTGGACAAGTCCCTGCAGTTTCCTTGGCAAGATTTTGGAAGTGGTTTGCCCTTCCCTGCTTCCTAGGGCTGGGAGAGAAGGACTAGCCCAAGGTCACCCAGCTGGCTTTGTGCCTAAGGCGGGGCTAGAACTCGTGGTCTCCCGGTTTCTAGCTTGGTGCCTTCACCACTACACCAAACTGGCTTACTAATCTTCATATTACAGCTCTTCACTTGGAATGTAGGAGGTGCACTTGGAAGTAGAGGGATAGTTGCAAATGAGCTGACAACTGGTGCTTGTTTCCTAACCCAAAGTATGATTGGATATCCGAATAAAATAATTACTGATAGTGCAGGACGAATTAGAGGGTCTGGTGTTTTGCCTTTATGTGCCTGATTCTTTTAATTTCAAAATGCAGGATCTTCACCCTGTACAGCAAGTCACTACCCCTTGATTTGGCCTGTCGAGTTTGGGATGTCTTTTGTAGAGATGGAGAAGAATTTTTGTTCAGAACTGGGCTAGGAATTCTTAGGTTATATGAAGATATTCTCCTGCAGATGGACTTTATTCATATAGCACAGTTTCTAACAAAGTTACCCGAAGACATCACGTCAGAGAAGCTTTTCACGTGCATTACATCTATTCAGATGCAGAATAGTAACAAAAAATGGGCTCAGGTAAGTATTAACTATGTGTGGATAAACATATTTAATTTTATCACAAAGCAACACTAAATGTAAAAGAGAAGCACAACTACAAGCAGAGATGAAGTAGATTAACCTTGTCTGGGAAAATAAGGCTTTACCTGTTGCTGAATGAATGTGGTTGCCTCAAGGATAGCATTTGTGGAATGGGACATCACCACTAACAAGGCCGTGGCCTCTCTAGCCACCGGCCACATAATAGATTGCAGAGACATCTGAAAAGCATTTATTGAAAATATTGCCTAGAGACAAGCACGTGTGGATAGCCTTTTAAGTACCGATTGCAAACCACAGAGGAGTTCCATGATTAAAATCAGCACTGTGAGTTCAGTTGCTGTAGTTGAGGTAACATGATTGTATATAGTCCCATTAATCTAGCAGCTGTATTTTGAACAATAGTTTCTATATGTCATAGTACCTTAATCTGTAAATTACCAGAACATTGGTGAAAGCAGACTTTCATTGTCCATGTAATCCATAGGAGGAACTGTGTAAGAGATTACTTGTGTCTCAGATGACACAATGAACACTCATAGGCTATGTACTTATGGTAGAGGAACTGCAGTCCTGGATAACAAGCAGTACTAATGAACTATCCCCCAATAGCCATTTGTCTAGATTGAGTTGATCTACTGATCTTTCATTTCGAAAACCAGATATAAAAATCATTATGAAAATTATTTAACACAGAGATAAAGACAACAAGCGTGCTAGATCCAGTCCCTTCATCCTTGCTCTTGTTACTGTCCTTTTGTTCAAGACAAACTAATACAGAAGCCTGCAAGATCAGGATTGCACCTCTTTCCCTGTTTTAGAGCTTCACTCTATAGTATGCAAAAGAAGAATGGTGAGAACAGAGACATAGGGGAAGAAAACTAGCAGATCTGGCTCTTCTTTCCTTGTATATTAAGGCAAATAACACACAATGCCTGCACAAGGCCACAACAGTAGATATCACCTGCGTATTTTCAGGTGACTAGAATGATTGATGGTACATCATTCAGAATTTTTAGATGACTTAATTCAGCAATTTCAAATAGAATATAGGTTCTGTAGTGTACTCATCTCACTTTTCACAAAAATAGGAAGCAAAATAGTGCACCCATTTTTCTATTAAAAAAAAAAATGGTTTGAAAACGTCCACCTCATTGCATTCTGGTGACATTATGTCACTGGCCATCTTCTGCCACATTCAAAAGTAACCACCCTAACCCTGCCATAGAACACACAATTTCTTTACAAAATGGTTGTGTGCTGCTATGATGTGGACTGTAGAAGCACAAAGGACAAGAGATACTTTGTGGGATTTAATAGCACAAATATCAATGAGTCAAACTGTAATCCTTGAGTACCACTTTCTGAAATTGATCTTTCCAAATGAACCAGAACCACCACATCACAGAGACATGTATTTAACTGAGACAGTCCATGCTGTGGAATGTTATCCTCTCAGCATACTGAAAGCCCCTGAGGTCCAAGAGAATTGTGGGAAATAGTCTATCTTTTCCCCTCTGCATCAAGAAGAACACAGTGCTGATAGGGTCAAAATCATGCCTCCCTGTAGAAACCAATATAGAAAATCTGTTTTATCCACGCAAGATGACTATTTCAAGGGAGATTGATAATCATTCCTGAAAATCAAAATATATTATCTAATATAAATCATGATGAGATTAAAGCAAGAGTTTGCTTAGCATGTTTGCTCAGTGATAAGATTCTTGACAGAACTTTTATAATAGGTTGGCATTTCTTAAAAAAAATGTTCTTTGTTCTGTAGTCATAAAACTTTGCTTTAAAGCTGTAATCATTTATTTTACTATATTAGATTCCCCAGTTTAACAAATACTAAACAGTTTCCTTATTAAAATTGCAAATGGCAATTTCCCTTCTAACACAATAGCAGTTTCCTCTTAAATATAAACTTGCTGCCTACCATGCCACTTGCTTCAGAAATGGCATTACCCTAATGCAAGCCTATGCAAATTTATTTGATTAACTAACTTGAAATCATTGTTTAAAATTTCCTCAATGAGCTTGGAATTCTATTTTTAAGTGAGGCGTTTCAACTGTCTACCCATGAAGAAGTACTTAAGTAGTTAATGCATGAAGTTTGGAGGTAGTTTGCAAAGTGTACAAATCTGGGAATGCTTTCAGTGGTATGAACTTGGGAAGTCCTACAGCCCTGCAGAGATATGTCTAACAAGTTTCAGAAGTGTAACAAGGCAACATAGCTGCATTTGTCTAAGGATATGCTATGATTGTAACCATTCATAGTACTGCTTCTCATAAAGCTTCCTAGATGGCATACTGAAGTTTAATTGAAATTATTACTTTGGCTACATTAGAGTTGGTCATTCTTATACTAGAACTGTTGAAATCAGTTGGACTTGGGTCTTAAGTTACTCATGATTAACTGAATCATAAGTGACTTCATGACCTATTGATTTCAGTGACTTTACTCCAGTGTCAAGTTTGAAACTTGTCTATTTGCAGTAGACTACCACATTGTCCATTAGTGTTTCTGCTAGAATTCTTGTGCTAAGATGTAGCCAATTTCACAGTGAGATGTTGACATGAGTTTTTGTCTGATAACCAGAAGACCAAAAAGAGTAGGCAACGTACAGTTAACAGGTTTCCATTGCATTCCTAAGTATATTTACCAATTTTTGCAACCTTCAGTTGTAAGCTTTTTAAACTGTAGGTGGGTGGGTTCCTTGATCTATGGTGTAAAGGCTAGCTATTTGGCTCCCTATTTATAATTAATTATTATAGAATTGATATTTAAAATATTGGGCTATTGAAAAAGAGAGGTGGGGTAGATGGAAAACAAATGGTTATGATACACGATAGATGGGAAAACCTGCAAAAATGGCTAGTATTTATAAATGTTAATAGGGGGTTAAGTTGTGGCCCATTTTTACGTTTTATTTTAAAAACTGGTTTTCAGGTGTTTGCCTCATTAATGAAGGATAGCAAAGAAGGAGACAGGAACCATAGTCCAGCACTAAAAAGTTAACTTCCAAGTTCAATTGGAAAAACCACTTGGTTGTGAAAGAATTCTTCTAAACATCTTCTCAGTGAAAACCACTAAAAAACGGCTTCAGAGACTGAAGAAGAAACAGTATTGACTGAACGCAGTGATGGAATTTGATGGTCCTTATCCTGCTGCCAGTATTAAAGACCTCTTTTGTGGGAAGATTCCTTTTCGCAGGAAGCAGAACAATAAAGTATGAAACTGAGAAAGTGGCTATCGCATATTTAATATTTAAAGTTGAACGCAATAACATTTGTAATAACTTTTGTTGGTACTTAAAATTTTGAGGGATACCTTTTTTATGATTACCACAAAGGCACTTTTGGGAGCAGGGCTGGTGTTTAAAGTAAGACCCCAGAAACTGCTACCTGAACCAAACATTTTGGTACAAATACCTCCAAAATTATAGATGAAATCCTTAGGACCAAATCAGGTTTTGTTTTGGTATACATGCTTGCCCAATAATAGGAGGCTTTTACGTATGTCTTACGAAACTCCTTTTAAATTGCAGTTTCACTTTCCAACTAACTGAATGTATGTAAGCGAAAAAAGAGGAAACTGCATGCAATTTTGCTACGGAGCCATTGGCAAATAAGTCTTGGCAAATAAGTCTTTTGGCTGAAAGGTGGCAGTGACTGTGGGCTTAGGTTAGCAACCAAGGGGGTTTTCAACATTTTACTTTTTGAAGTACTTTGCTTACAGGAAAATTGGTTTCTAATCCATAAAAATCATATGAATTTTTTTTAATCAAAGTGACTTATACTTGATAAACACTAGTATAATTAATAAGCTAGTGATAACCCTTTTGCACATTTTACGCAATGTTAATGTTGAAAGTTTTGAGTCCCTGTATATTAAAATGTTTTCTCATTTAAATTTAAAGTTGATTACTGCAGTGTGTACAATAATGAGTACCCAAAATGCATCTTGTTAGTCCATCTCTTTTAATGTCAGCACCATACTGTAAAGACAGCAGAACGGAAGGTCGAAATTCCTTCACACTCCAAAACGTTTTAAAATGGCTTTTGAACTGGAGGGGGATGGAAAGGATACCTCTTAATCTCTCTGAGCAGCTAATGCTTGTTCTTTCTAAGTCCGTTTTGATAGTATTAATGTAAATAAAATTGCCTTTTTTTTCCCTTTGTACCTGGTCCCTGTATGTGCAAATGAAGTCAAATTTATCATTGCATTAAAAAATAAGTGAGACTGCTTCAGTTGTCAAGTGTTAAAAAAAAGTTGCAGAGCCTATTTTAAAGATTTGGTTACAGTACATTGTAATATTTATGTTGCTATCAGATGTAAACCACAATTCAATATTACCTATTACAACATTCAATTTGAAGTTCAAATGTCTGCTTTTTTTCTTATGTATTTACTTGCTTCTGGTGTATGTCCTTTACTTGGGTTCTCTTGTACAGTTTTCTTACTTTTCAAGTACAGTATACACATGTATATAAATTGTAAATAGAAGGAATTTAGCCTTCATCCAAAACTACTAGTAATAATTCCTATGTAAATAAACTTGTAAGCAGAATGAATACTGTCTCCATTTAAATTTGTTCATCTTTCATGTATAAAGGGGAATCTTCTGTAGCTTTCCCAATGATTTGCTTCATTGATTCACTCCTATGCCCATCCAGATGTGAGCACTAAAGTCTTTTCCAGAGTTGGGCTTTTAATGAAAGGTTATGGTTTGTATCTTCTCAAAGAATCGCCACTGGTTGTCATACCAATGTCTTCATTCACCAAAGGAATGGGGATCCTGTGGTATCACGCAGGTTGCTGAATTACAGCCCCTAGCCATACCGATTGAGGCGGTGGGAGGTGTGATTCAGCAGCATCCCCAACACGTAATTCCTTTTCCTTTGTATATGGAACAGAACTAGGTTAGAAGAATTCAGAATGCCAATCTTACGCATCCCTTAAGCTGATTACACACCTAAGGAATGGAGAGCTAAGAGTAGTACAGTAGATCAATTGGCATACTTGCAATGGCCTTACCACTGTAAATGAACAAGACAGAATTTCCTACATCAGTTCTATTTTTACCCCATGGTTATCACTCTGTTTCTGCTGCATCAAATGATACCACCATAATTTGGGGTTCTTAGATCAGGCAGCCTTAGCAGAGTCACTTCAGAGATGGGTGCGAATCATTCAGTTAGGTGCAAGGGAATGCTGGCAAAAGTGTTGGACTCTCCTGTTGTTATCCTGCCCGAGCCTGAAACCAGCCATTATCATTGCATGTCGGCAATTGTGAAGCAAAAAGTTTTATTTCTCTTAAACAGTACGCTGTATTTTAGAGCAGCCAGTACTGCTGGAGCAGAGTATTCTGTGGGACCTGAGTTGTCTGAAGCAGGATATATTGAATAAGTAGACCAATTCAAAAGAAACCTTGCTTTTTAACACAGCGCAACAGGCCTTTCCATTAGTGCAGAACCAGTTTAGTGGCTGGGGGCCAAACTTAGTATTTGTGAGTGAACTTGAAGGCCACAGATGGTGGGGCAATGGTTCAAAGTGGGTGGGGCTGTTTTTGTTTTGAGGGACTTGTATTTAAAACTCTGTTAAGCTTATTCATAGGAATTATAACCCAATTTTCATTATGCTACTTACTTTAAAATGGTGAGAAAATAGTGATCAGAGGAAGCTCAGGATGTCAGAAAAGGAGCTCAGGAGGACAGGTTGCCCACCCCAGTGCAATTCCTGTGTTCAGGTAATGATGTAATTCAAAACATTCCAAAATATGTATTGCTTATGCACAACATAATTGCAGGAAATATGCCATTTACCAGTGCCTAACCTCAGTGTTTCCTGGATGATGACTTGAATATGAACTGTATCACGCTCAAGGACAAGGAGCAGGGAGTCTCTGCTTCA